ATGTACAATATGAGCATGGCAGACTTTTAGAAGCGCCTCTCAGCATGAAGCAGTCCACCAAGACTCTGACTTTGACCTCAGTGCTCAAATATGCTTTTATTAATACCTCTATGACAGGGTCGAAAACTAACGTTACAGAAAACATGAGAGTCTGCTTTATGACAAAAGTGTTGATTGCATTTGACTCAAGAGGCATACTTTATAAAGGGAACACTAAGTGTACACACATGTATGGAACGCTTATCAAATATAATTCAGCACAAAACCCTGTTCTGTGACATATTTGATACATGTTTGTCACAGATTATGAGCAATAACTACCAAGGTTAGGTCAGTAAGCTCCTGTGTAAGGCTGAAGGCAGCAGCTAAGGATTTCTGTATTGTATTAACACATATGTTATTGATTCAATAATACATTTAGTCTCTAGTGTCAACAGTTGTTTCCAGAGACCAAATCAATTCCATTTACAATGACATTAAATGGTAGCAATATTTCATATTCAACATTTCACAGTTTTTAGATACATATTTTATGTTGTTGTATTCTCAGTTTTTCCACAGAGTCCTATTATTCCCTCTTCTTTAAGCACAAAGTAGCATGCAATGATCCTGTTTGCAATTCAACACCATCAAATGATTAGGCAGATGGGCTTTGTATTCATATTTTATGAAACTAATGGCTTTATTGAATACAACAAGGAATGTTGTTGTACAGCTGCTGTACAGTGGGGGATGAAAAATGAAATGTTTATTCTCCTGCATGTTTTATTTTCAACATTAAATACAACCAGCTCTGCTTGAAACGTGTGAGCGAGGCGCTCTTCTTTACAATTGAATGTCAGTTACCACTCTTTCATAAATCAACTGCTGTTTCTTATGCCTGCTCTTTTCCTCTAGACAGCCCCCTCTAAAACGAATGCACCGAGCACGTACGTACACACACACATCAAGTCAAACACACATTGATGGGGCTGCAGTATAGTGGTGTAGGAATGATTTAGCATTTTACAAAATCAGGTTCCCTTGTTGAATCGTCCCTCCAGACATTAGCCCCCTTTAGCTTAGTGGTGGAGATGCACAGTCATGTGACCGTGATGTAGTTTGTTTATACTCAATCGTTAGCTTTTTACTTCTAGTGATTGCCTTTGCTCTTCAAAAACCATTAAAATGTTGTTAATATGTGGAAATTATCCTGCGGAACAAAATGTATTATCAAGGTGTGTTTTCCACTGAGCTTTTTTTCTGCAATGTATCGAAAACCAATGGAAACATCCCATTGCTTTTGTGAGCAATGGGATGTTTCCATCTTCCCAGTCTGCCCACGTCCTCCCTGCACCAATATATTTAGGTGGGGATATTTTGCTCTCAGAAGACACATTTATTAATGATGAAAAAGACTAATTTCTTGTCAAACACTCAGTTACTTCAGTATGTTATGTCCAGTAGCGTGGCGTGGGGAAAACATTTGAGGAAGCCAATAATCTATGTCCCTTTTGGGGGGGGGCGGGGGGGTCAATGTACAGTAATAACGTAACCAGATAAGTTATTACAGCGCCCGGTATCATTTTACACAAATGTGTATCATACAGATGCAGGACTTGCACACGGCTGTTATCGAACCGACAGGTCCGCAGAAACTCTTTCATCTTATTAATGTATGCAGCCAACCGCTTAATGCGCAGTGCGGATTCGGTAATGAATAACAAATAAGCATTCATTCACAAACTAAATCAGGAGACCTTTTTGTTTTTTACGTTCACATCAAAGTATCAGTAGGCTACGTGTATGGAACACATGACTTCAAAAACAGTTATGTGCAGAAACATTGCACGCGATAGTCCACCTTCTCTTCTCTTCCCTCTCTAACACATAGCAAGTGCAGCAGCAGTCCTCACACCTCTGTAATTAGCTCAGTCCTTAGTCCAAAAGTAAAAAAGTAGTGAAAGTTTAGTAAAATTATGTTTTACTACATACTGTAAATCTCCACCATCCATAACTTTAAATATATTTAACCTTTATTTAACCAGATAAAAGCATTGATATAAAATCTCATTTTAAATACTTACCTGGCCAAGATGTAAAAAATACAGAGAACTTAACTAAGAAAACAAAAGACGAAAAGCAGTCACTACATTGTGCACATTAGGACAGTAAGAAAGGTACACTACTTATTACTGCAAGAGCAGCTGGTGGTAAGGACTTCAGACAACTTCAATTTAAAACATGCTATTGAGACAGGTGCCCTCAGTTTGAGGCGTGATTGAAGGTCATTCCAAGACCAAGGAGCATAATAAAAAAGACTCCTTCTTCCAGCCTCAGTCCGCATGGCAGGAACCTGGAACCGTATCCAGGCACTGGATCTGAGGTTGTAAGAGTCACAAACTGGAGCAAATCTGGCACATATGTTCAGTGGAAGCCAGTGGCGGCCGGTCCATAGGGGTGCTAGGGGCGCCGCCCCACCTCTTCCCCCATTTAAAAAAAAAATATATATTTCTTATTTTAATTTTTAATGAACAAGGTAAGTATTATATAATTGGTATCAGTCAAATGTAAATCTACAATAAAATCTTGTTTAAAATTGTGTTACGATGTCTAAAGTTACTGACATGTCACATGTTTCCTGCCTGGCCTTGCCCGTGTATCATTACCCTCTCTCGTCTGGGCGCTAAGAGAGGAGCCCTCAACCAGTGCAGCAGCAGCCACTAGCAGCTGACTGTTGCTATCTGTAAACTATGCCTCCGAAACATAATTTCAGCCAATCAGCGTCGTCAAATCTGATGATCATCGGGCGCCAATGTCAGCGCCCGGTGCAGGGTTATGGCTAGAAAGGATCCGTCTTGTGTAAAACTCTCGCGAGAGTTTGCGAGTCACGTGGCTGAATGTTTACATTTGACAGGCAGCCTTTCAGTTACGATCGTTAACATCAGTGGGACACAGCAAATGATGGTGAGAAGCTAAACTATCTATTAATTATGTCAATTACAAGGAGTGTGATTGTAACTGTGTGTGTGACTAGCTGGATGCAAACAGGTAGACGCTGTCTTTTGTTTCCCATGCTTGCTCTTCAAACAGCCGGGGACAGATACTATGTGCCCGTGATAAATAAACACACACACACATATTATTGTATATAGTTGAGTGTTGACAGCATCCATCAAACTAGATTTGTTGCCTTAATGGTCTGTTTTCTAATATTTCTGTGTTTCTGAACCACGTCTGTGTCTGCATATAATGTTCGTATTTAGTCTCCTGATTTTAAATGGGAATTAAATCATTTGAGTGTTCCCAAAGAACCGGTGTTCTGCAGTTTGTGTGGGCCTACTGTACTGTTGCACAGTTTACTGTATAACTATGTCCGGGACAAGGTATTTGGAAGTTTTGGAAGATTCATAGCTAACCACACTGAAGATTATGGAGGTATTGATCAGTCTTCTCATATCTCTAATATCACCAGAAGTCATAATTTAAGGGGTCATTTCTCAAAATGTTCCCTGTGTGGTTTATTCACCATTACAGTAGCCCGCCACCTAAAATAATTGCCACCAGCCGCCACTGGTGGAAGCTTACCTAAAATGGCTTTATACATTAATAAAAACCAATGCTGCATCCTACGCATAGTAAGTGAGGACCATCCAGTTAGGCTATACAGTTTGCAATGATGAGTCCTATAGGGTGCATTTGATATATATTGCAGTGCAGCATGGTAGAGTGGGTCAAGTTTGGCCAAAACAGTGGGACAGGCAAATCTATAAATGGTATCACCGTAGTCCAGCTGGGACAGGAATAAGCCAGAGACCAACCTTTTACGGGATGAAATTGAAAAACAACATTTAAGTCTGAAAAGGAAGCTAAGAGTGAATTTCAATTTCTTTGTTAGAACTTCGATATGGTGTTTAAAGTTCAGATTACTGTCCAACCAAAAGCCCAGATATTTGTAGGTATCGACAAACTCAACAGAGACGCAATCAAGGGTGTCAATGGAGAGGCAAGAGGACGCTGACTTGGGAGCAAAGAGCATTGCTTTGGTTTTCTTACTGTTCAAATAGCAGTTTCGAATCAAGAAGCGCATGCTGCAGCGTGATAAAATCTGATTTTAAATTGGAAACGGCCATATCCAGAGAAGAAGCACATGAGTATACAATAGTGTCATCAGCATACATATGATTGCATCTGATTACAAATATTGTTTACATATAATAAAAAGAGCAAGGGCCCCAAAATAGAGCCCTGTGGAACTCCCTTCTCCAAGGTGACAGGGTCAGAGACAGTACTACCCAACCTGACACATATACGGTCGGTTAGATAACTCTGAAACCAGCAAATGGCATTATGACCGCAACGAGACACCAGCATAACATTCAACATAATGTGGTGATCTACAGTGTCAAATGCTTTGGCTAGGTCAATAAACAATGCAACACAAACAGATTTTTTATCCAAAGCAGCCTTAATATCGTCTAAGACTTTCAGACTGGCAGTCACAGTACTGTGCTTTGATCTGAATCCAGATTGCATAGGGTTAAGAATGTTGTGTGAATTTAAAAAAAGTTTTAGCTGAGTAGAAACTGGGGACTCAAGAATCTTTGATAACACAGAAAGATTTGAGATAGGACGATAGTTATTCAACTGCACTTACTAATGTTGCTACTTGCTAATGGCGGTGATGACAGTACGAAGTTGATGCGATTTGATTCGAGTGATTAGTCAGGGCCTCAATTTTTTCTCACCAAGGGATGCCAATTTCGGCTTGCCTCCTCTCGACCATGACATTAGTTTACAGTGAGTGCAATATACTGTTTCACCATAACATCTAGAGGGGCGCTGTTTCACTCTTTGTAAAATACTCAATGAGAATGGGGGAGAGATGGCATCAACACACAGTGTTTTTTTTAATTTATTAAAATGATAACTACTGTCCGAAAAAAGCCTGGCTTCCCTTGGCCTCCAGGAGAAAAGGCCACTGGTTATGTCTCAGTGGGATGCAGATTGACATCTCTCACCTGGCTTGCCGGTAGACAGGATGTTCTTGGGGATGATCACTCTGTCCTCAGAGCTGCGGGCCCAGTCCACCATGCCCCTCCAGCCCTTCATCGGGAAGCTGATGTCGGCCTGACCCACCACCGGGCGCTTGTGGACGCTCAAAACTGTAACATAAAAATGTGCAAGCTGTTAGTTATCATGGATTTGTACTCAGGCAGCTGTAGCTCAGGGGTGAATGGCTGTCTACCAATCTACCAATCAGAGGGTCAGTGGTTTGACCCGCCCCTGCACTGAGGTTTTGTTGGGCAACCCCAAATAGCTCCTGTTGGCACATCTACAGTATTTCAGTGCATGTTAGTTTCTTTGGATAAAAGTGTCAGCTATATAAAATGACAAAACATCAGTGGTGAACCATCAGGGCCTTCAAGGTATTCAGAGAATACCCTGGAACACTCAGATAAAACAAACAAAAGATCGATTTAATTATGTAAATAAAATGTAATAAAATGCATATAAAATGAATACATGAGAATTGGTATCTGTGTTGTTGATCTGTAATATTCAGAGGTGGGGACTCGAGTCACATGACTTGACTCGAGTCGCATATTTTTTTACTTGAGACTTGCTTGACTAACATTGATAAAAGACTTGACTTGACTTTGACTTGGTATTCATGACTTGAGACTTGACTTAAGCTTGAGATAGTTTGTAGGCAGGAATGTCAGTTAACATGGCAGTGGCTAACGTTACTCCAAAAATAGTCAAGTTTGGATTCAAGGATTATTTTGTCGATGACGCTAATAAGAAGAGAACAGCGGTATGCAGGGTCTGCAGCATAAAGGTCAGTGACAGGACCACCACAACATTGAACTTCATTCGTCACTACAAAACAACCCACAGAGAAAGGTGCGTGCATGTGTTGTGTTAGCTAGAAAGCTAACGTTAAGTTTAAGCTACGTTAGACTTGGTTTCAAATCGATTAAGCAAAGAGAAGACAAAACGGTAAATTAACACTAGAACCTCCAATGGATTCATTTTGACTAACCCTGATACTGACGGGCTGTGAGGAGGGGGGGAGAGAGAGAGAGGAAAAGAGATGCCTCGTTTATTTCCCCTGTGTTATTATCAGAAGTTACTGTAAACTGTTGAATAATGTAGTTCATCTACTTTTAGTAGTTTGTTTAAATGTTTTAATTATGTTGTTTTTGTTTGTAGAAGTGCATCATTCCTTGATTTATTGTAAAATGAATTTTAACTTTTTGATCTGTTATGATAAACTGAAGCAATTTCTAAATTAACCCAATTAAGTGAGTTTTAAATCGTCCTACTTAGTTTATAAGGAAATTATGAAGAGCAACAAATTAGATGATTTGAAAATGATATCTATGTAGGTGCTGACGCTGTTGGCGGTTCTAGTGTTAACAGACATTTAAACTAAATATGTGTAATGGCAAATGCCATATATGATTTTCTTACCTGGAATTCTGCCTTTTTGAACAGACTTGTTGAGTCCTAGCTATATTGTCTGCAGTTCTAGGGTTAATATGAATCTAATATGATTGTCATCGGTCTAAATTAGATTTCAAAAGATTAACTGTGTATGTAATGAAGATCATAGTGTGGGTTAAATCCATTTTCATAACCACTGTCTTTTAACTGATTTAAATGCAGAAACTGGGCTTATTCATCAGAATTTAGTATGACTTGACTTGACTTGCTTGACCCTCACCACAGTGACTTGGGACTTGCTTGATACTTGTAGGTCAAGACTTGAGACTTGCTCATGACTTGCACATGTAGGACTTACTCCCACCTCTGGTAATATTACAGTGTTACGTTGATTTGTTTGTCCTTCTCGGACCATGCACTACGCATTTCAGTGGTTTTGTGTTCGAAAATAAATGCAGTGAGCTAGTGAGCACGCTCATGAACTGTTCGCCGGAGCCTCGCAGCAGGGTTACTGTGTGGAGCGCATAAAGCAGACCCTTCACGCGATAGCGAGGGGTAGAGCGAGGGATCACAGATGCCATCGTGCTCGCGGACGGATTAAACAAATTAAACCTAAATGGCTCGCGAATTATACTTTGACGGCCATTAATATACCTGGGCGGCCCGCCAAGTAAAGTCTATGTGTGGGAAACCCTGCTATCTTACCAGTTCTTATGCAACTCACAAATATCTCTCTCTCTCTCTTCTCTCTTTTCTATCTCTCTCTTCTCTCTCCCTTCTCTCTTTTCTCTCTCTCTTCTCTCATCTCTCTCTCTCTCCTTTTTTGGCGGGGGGTGCGCATGCGCACCTGCGCACCAGTTGTTAAGAGTAGATCCAGATCAGTCCCAGACAGCGTTGGAGTTGATGATTCTCCTCGTCTTACATAACCTAACTACTTTGATGAGTTTGAGGAGGAATCTGATCTGACTCCATGTTAGCAGAGAATGTGCGCCGCTTTGTTTCTGCTCATGGAGTGGGAGGGGGTGAGGTCAGCCCCCCGGGGGAGGGCCGCTGCAGGTGTGGGCGGCTGCTGGGCTCCAGACAGCGAGGTGGCCCCGCTACAAACAGGACCTCTCATCTGGCCCCAATTCCCACACACTCTCCCTTGACTAAACTCAAAGTCCTTTTTATCTGGAGGTCACAGGGAGCAGCGGAGCCTCTGTGATGACTGCACCATGTTTTCCACCTATTTGAGGACGATAGAGCGTTTACAGTGAGTGGGCAATGGAAGCAGACAGCAGGTTGTTATAAGTGTGGATCTGCTGGACCGGCCGTGGGGAATCATAATATTGACCGGGGTTTGTTCTCTTGTTGTAGATACTGAGCCACAGAAATAGAATGCTATAGAAGTCGTGCCATCTGGCTGGATACGATAGTATTCAAACATGTTTTATTCAGTGTTCTCCAGTAATTCATCATTTACCAGACCTTTTCCTTAACCTGTTAAGCCCTGAGCCTGTTTTTCAGGTCTCAGGCTCGAAAATGACATTCCCAGAACAAATGACCATATCTTCCCTTCTAAAAGGGTTACATTAATAAGCTTTTTTCTCAAAGTAATGATAAACCTGTGAGTTGGATGTAGAAAAGTCAGAATCAATATAGATGTTTTTTATTTTAAAGAAAATTCAGATTGAACATAGTAAAAAACTGTAAATTATAGTGTCCGTCCAAAAATTATTTTTTACTTATAGTGAAAACTACCCTTAGATGATGGTAAGGTAGACTAAAAGCTTTAGGAATCCAAAGTACAACATATAATAAGTACCCTGTATCAAGATTGATGCAAAACAAGTGACATTTGACCTTTTTAGAGAGGTTTAGCAAAAAAAAACTCTGGGGTGATTTGGGTGGAAATGGGGTTTTACCGTTTCTCTGGAACCCATTGGTCGATTTTGGTGATTGACATCTCTTTCTGACCATTAGAGCCAATAGAATCGAAGGGGAATCTCCCCACTCACACACAGTCTAAAACAAAAAGTGGGGGCCTCGCATTCACAGTTTTGCACCAGAGTGAAGCTGTCTCTAGCTCTGACATCTGGAAACCGAAAAGCAGGTTTATTGCTCATGGATTATCAGAAATAATGTCAAAGGGACACAGACACATTGGATTAACCTATGGATTAACTTCAGCATCGTTTTAATGCCATTGAAGACCACTTTTGACTAGACTACGACACAGATGAGCCATGTTAGCGTTTTTAGCTACCTAGCGCCACATGTTTTGATGTCTCTTCTTGTTATTATCTCCGAGAGTTCGTATCATTGAGTGATAATGAGGGTACCCTTCGATTCTGTGTCACCTCACGATGTGAAACAATGGGTTGGATGTGCAGCAAAGATAAATAATAAGGTTTTGTGAGTGAATTTCGGTGCAGTAATCTGTTAGCATTTTTCGCTCGTTGCTAATTCAGAGGCTCAGCGTTAGCATTGTGGGGTTTTTTTTGAAAAAAAAATTAAAATGATCAGTTAGATGAGTTTCTTCCCGTTACATGGATATAAAACATTCATAGTTTATTAAATGAACATGCCCTCAGACACTGTTTCCTGAAAGATGTTGCGGCAGTGCCCCGGTACCGGGGTCTCTCGGGCTTAACAGGTTTTAAGGGGTGATGAAGTGATGGAATCTGACTGTATTTATATATAATGGACAAGGACAAAACTCAGGGGCAGCAACTGATGAGGACAAATGCAGCTGAAGATTTAAAATACATATATATATAGTATATCAAAGCTATAGAGACTCACAATGCAGTAACAGTGTGTGTGTGAAGGTTTCACTTGAAAAGGCGTCACATTGAAAATATGGTAGATAAGGACCTTGGCTCACTTTTTTAGCTAGTTCAACAAATGCAGTCAGATTGAGTGAAATGCTGATAACCCATTCAGACTATATGCAGCTGAATTAAAAAATATGTACTTGTAAATCCATAACGTGTCTGAACCACCACTACTCGTCTCCAATATAAGAGTGACCAATCACATCATGAGTGAAATGACTGTTCATTGATCAAACGTTACGAAACATTCATTTATTTTAGCTGGGGCATCAAATAATGCCTGTTGCTATGGATGTCATCCAAAGCTTGTTTTGGTTCTCCATACCACTTTCATTTCAAGGTGTTCTTTGTGTCTGGCATTGAAAGCACCAAAATAAACTTTAGATCAAATCAAAAGCAGCAACATAAAACTAAATGAATAAGTGATGCCAAATCAATGCGTGACAATTGCAGTGAGAAGAGTATCTGTTCAATCAAATTCACCCTATATCAATATTTATTAAATTACTCGTGTAGTTCAAAAATATTGTATTATTGTTTTTTGATCAGTATGCAGTCAAAATAATACAAATACCATTTCTAGATATTCATTTATAATTTCCTTTTTTGTGTCTGTGTGACATCATCTCTAATGATCTAATGGACAGACAAACTGTGAGCTTTCAAAAGTACATATCTTTATCACATGTATGTTCATGTTTATCTATATTTATGCAATACTTCTCACCTTTTGGCCAACACACACACCAGCATTTCGTTTGTATATCTGTGACAAGCTAAAATAGAAACATCGATGATATGAAGGAGTTCTGAGTGAGGGCACAGGAAATGTCACCCCCCCCCCTTTGTCCTGTCTCCTATGTATTTCCATTGTAGATATGGAGATCAATCATCAGAGAATAGAGCAGAGCTGTGATAAGAGTTTCTTTTGATGAGCAGAGATAGCTGTGATGGAGATAAGGCTGACCTAGGTTATCGGTGACTTCATACATGTCTTGGAAGTCTTTCATCCTCAGGCCGATGACGTCCACAAAGTCCTCCACCAGACGGAACAGCTCTTTGATGTTGGGTCCCAGCTGAGGGACACATACACAAAAGAATAATATAAGAAAAAGGATTATGGATTTCAGGTTAATAAACAAACTGTATACAAATGTAAACTGCTGTTGAAGCATTTGAAATAGAAAGTATTTCATAAAGAAGCGTTTTTTGTAGTTACAGGCCACCGTTTCTCAAATTCCACACAGCAAACATTCATATCTGTGGGGTGGGAATTAATAAGCATTTGCTTCCTCCTACTCCCTTTCGGACACATGATTTTTTATTATTATTATTAATATAGAGCCTTTTTTTGTATCATGAATAAATACTGTATTTTAACAATACGGTATTCTGTTTTTTCACATTTATTATTTGTTAATTTTTTTAATCTGTTCAAAATAAAGATTGAAATGAAATGAAATATCTCATGTTGTGCATATACACTGGTTATGACTGTGTACTTCTTTTAAATTACTAGGTAAAGCTTGACACTTAATGGTGAGTCAATTAATTATAGTCATTGTATTATTCTATCAAATAATTCCTTAGTGTCCATCTTATTATTTATTTTTGCCATGATAATAAATAAATAAATGAATGGTATTGCAAGCGCCATGTTTTCCCAATAATGACAACACAACACATAAATCATCTCTTGTCTGGCTGATCACAATAACACGTGTATAGTAGTACAACTCTGAGTTACAAGTGTGTTTGTTGGTATAATATAATAATCTCTGGCTGCCTTATAGACCGCTTCATAAAGCGTTGTCCTCCCTTCTCCATGTATTTCACCTTGAGTATAAAAACAAGTTGCCGAGAAGTGAAACCTCATAAATATAGCTTGACCATTATATAAGCAAGTCAATTCATTTTCACATTTTCCGTTATTGTCACATGGTAAACTGGGGTCCTGCCCCCTGCGGGGCTGGGGTCTCAGGGGCAGATTGACCTGGCTGGTAATCCTTCTTTAGCCCTGATAACGGTCTAAAGAGGAGTTTTGGCTTTGAAATAGGATGAACTTTAAAGTCACTGCAAGGTATTCATTATTTACCCACGAGAAATACATACACAAGTGTTTCGGCCTTGAAGCAGGGACACACAGATTCAGAAATATGAAATATTACATCCACACTTTAGACTATTGAGCAGTGAGGTTGTGTTTATACCAAATCAGATGTGTTTTGTTAATGTTAACAAAGAAAATATATTACAGTAAGGTAAGAGCCACACAGTTAGTGGATATTATAAAAATGTGCCTCTTCATATTATCCTCTCACAGAGGAATAGCAAACTCTTTCTGCACAATGCTTGATATTTGCATTTGAATACACTCATTCTGGAGTTGGTTTGTTTGGCATTCTTCTGGTGTGTGCATGGCGAGAGAAGCACGGACAGCTGGACGGCTGAAGGGAGGCACAGATAGTGAGGCACAAGTGGATGAGAGCAGCAGATGGAGGAGTGGGTGTTTGCGTTGACTTGGTTACTCATTAGCTGCAGATATTTCTGTCCTTCAGCAGTCCTCCTCTGCCTCTGTCACTCTGCTGACAGGTGGGCTGCTGGTCCACCTGTGTCTTTGTAACACTGTCTAACTCATCAGTTCTACAGTGGAAGGGTTGTTGTCATTACTGTACCCTTAGTTCTACTAAAGACACTAATTACAGAATGTGTGATGAGGTCAATCTAGTTATAGAAAGAGGGGGAGGCTCACCAGTTGTGCTTCTTCCCATCTATCCCGGTTCTCTTCCATCAACAGATTGCTGACTGACTGCACAAAGTTCTGCAAAACAGTATTTAAAAAAACATATGACATTGTTATCTTTCTATTCTAGAGTCAAGAAGAGAGAGTTACGTGTACAAACCAGGGGGGGCGCATGACAACATTTCGCATTTGAGTTTGACACTCCTGGCTTAGAGGGTCCCGCCCCTTAGCCTATCACATACAATATGTTGGAGTCACTATGCTATGGAAGTAAACAAAGCACTCCAGTATGCACCACAACATATACGTAGAAGACACTACAGGAGAGGGAGAACTCCAAACAGCATAATATCATCTTTAACTGGTTTATTCTAGGGTAGAAAACACCCTCAAACAAGTTTATAGACTAGCAGTAAACCCAAACAGCATCTCCTCACCCTCATGTCTGTGCTGCTGGGGCTGTAGTACGCCCTCCTGAAGATCTCCGTCATGTTCTTCAGCACGTCCACGATGGCCAGCAGGTCTCCGCTGTAGCTGGTCCCATCACTGGAGGTCACCCTCAGCTTGGTCATCACCTCGGAGACTCCATCTCCCACAAGGCCACGCTGTGCTTTTGACAAATGTTCCCGGGTCTAACAGAGACAGTGGGTTCTGTTATTTTAACAGTAAGGAATAAACACCTACAACGGCCCGAAACACTTCCATTAGGAGAGACCTTTTTTACTTTCAGGCTGCATAAGTGTTTTCAAGTTGGTGAAGACATGTCTTCATTTGCATGTGTTTTGGCACAGTTGTGTTTTATATTTGCATTGTTTCTGAAGCTGCAGCTTCCTTATTATTACTTTACATTACATTACATTACATTGCATTTAGCTGACGCTTTTATCCAAAGCGACTTACAATAAGTACATTCGACCAGGAAGACACAACCTTGAAGAAAACATAATCATATAAGTACATCAGGTTTCATAGAGCCAAAACATTTCAAGTGCTACTCAACTGGCTATAGATAAGCCAGTCCTTTATTAGTATATAAGTGCTTTGTTAGCAGTTCTTTGTTAGTAATTATATCGCTCGAAGTGGAGTCGAAAGAGATGAGTTTTCAGTCTGCGCCGGAAGGTGTGTAAGCTTTCTGCTGTCCTGATGTCAATGGGGAGCTCATTCCACCATCCTGGAGCCAGGATAGCAAACCCACGTGTTTTTGCTGATGGGAACCTTATGGAAGTGTTTTGGGCTGGGTTTGTATCTGTGTGCCGCCGTACTTTTGTGCCCTGTTTTGAATTATTGTCTTTGTATGGTAATTTAGCTCTAAGGCTACCAAGACTGTAAAAAAAAATGTTTTAGCAGCTCACCAAAGTTTGTATGCTGCGATAGTCATTGGATATACATTTCATGTAGGTGGGATTCTCCCAGTAGGCGACGCCCTCTTCGTCCAGGGAGCAGCGGCGCAGGATCAGCCCTGTGTGAGGACACGTACATTTATATCAGCAAGAGATGTTTCTGATCCAACTCAAAGAACTACAGGTGGACTTTGGTGTATCATTGATGGTGAGGTGTGAGCTCACCCATGGCATTGGGGGGGCAGCGTACTGCTGTTGTATCCCCAGCTGCAGTCATCTTCCATACAACGTTGGAGAAGTTGTCCTCGCCACATATTTCATGAGGTTCTGTTCCCAAAAGGACAGTAAATGAGTATGTTATGAAATATGACCTCAGGTTTCCAGTCCTGATGAAATACTGCTGACAAAGCAACCTATGTTTGTCCACTCACCTGGGCATCTCTTCTCATTACAGTGCCGGACCTCTTCCCGTTCTCCGGGACAAGATTGCCCTTCAAAAAAGGGCCCATAACAAATCCTGTTTCTCTGCTGGCTCCCCCCACCACAGGTTTTAGAGCAGCCCGACCACAAAGACCACGGCTGCCACTTGCCATCCACTGACAGATACAGAAACACAGACTGTTAGACAGGACTTCATCAGCCACAATTAAACCCAGTGTGTTTAGATATTTACAATACTGTAGAACATTTTTCAAAACACATGGTAGTGTGTTGGTATTTTTGCATTTATTCATGTAGATCATTTAAATGAGTTAGCTGAGATTTTAAACTCACTTAATGCAACTCATTGATCATTTATAGGAATCTGAAATGAATGGAAACCGTTGGTGGCTGGGAGGAAACACTAGAAAGCAAAGGTCTAGGCAATGCAAGTCCTCTGGTAGCTGAATCAATGAATCTGGTTTATTGTATGTCTGATGCCCCCTCTTTTTATGTTAATAAAGAAATATCAGACTTTTTCTTTTTTGAACGACTTCTCACGTGGCATCTTCTTACAACGTTCCGACCACACTGGATAACACATGCAGAAACACTGCATGGTCCTTCAAAGCCACGTGAAACCATGAAGCACTGCTAAGACCAACCCCAGGAGCCAATGTGTGTTCAAAAGAGTTTGATTATGTAGGCTTTCCCAGAACAATAGAAACAGAAAGTACCTTCTGTCTGTAACAATGAAGTACATTCTAAGTAAATGCATGTTTGATTAAATATGTTATTATATAAAATAGCTAGTAGTGAAAGAGCAAGGAACACATTATTGGAGCACAGTAAATATTTAGCTCTGGCTTTGTCTCTTTCATACCCGGGCACTCCCCAAGGAAGCAGTCAACAGTCTCCAGCCACTCCCCTCTGCACTCGGAGCCCCCGTACGAGGGGCCGTTACACTCCCGGGTCCTCTGAGTGGTCCCGTTGGAGCAGGAGGCGGAGCACGAGCTCCAGTTGGACCACTCGTTCCACACTCCATCCACTGGGAGCGGGCACCAGGTCAGCAGCAGGGTCGCAGGGACGAGAACACGGAACATACATGCATTTGGCGCATTATTGATTATATAAAAAACCCAAAAACGTAATAAATAGAGTTGCAGTTTTCCATCTCCACATAGCGTTCACTGTAAACAATGTGTACTTAGACATTCCATATTTTCTTTTATTCTTTGTGTTTTTGTTATATGTAAGGCAGGGGTGTTGACCAGTCAAATCAAAGCATAATAACCCTTTAATGACAACTTTAAATTGTTCCCTTTGTTTTAGTGCATACAAGTACATTTTGAAAATGTCTACATTTAATCTTTTTGTAAAACATTATGAACAACCTGACATTTGAACAATAAGTGTCATTTCAAGACATTTAGTCACCGGATCTTGAACTGAACCATATAGTATTTGACTTAATGATCAAAACAACTACATTTCACATTCATTTCCACATGTGTGTAGTCATCTTGTCCACCTGAACTGAAGCAGCACCATACAAACTAAAGTGGGAACTATTAAGGCAGAAGGTCAAGTTATCCCCCTGCCTTGTAAATGTATAAATACATCAAAGTTGTGAAAGTTGCAGTCCATGTCTTCTCTGAAATCTTTACACTTTGTAAGGTCATCCTGCAGGGTATATGTTTGACAGCTGGTTCACATACTGTACTGTTTTAATATGGTTACATGCTGCAGTGACATGGAGCAGCTTTAAGGCAAACGTGTTGATCACTTTTCCAAATAGGCACACTTGAAAGAAAGGTAATAATCCTGCCATTATAGGGGGACAGAATGTAATCAATTGTATTAACAAAAAGGCACAAGTAGCTTTGTGAAAGGTTGCATGCGGTAAGGTTCCATTTTATTCCAATGATGCACCATTTGAAATAGATGATGCTTGAATATGCTCCTCACCTGGACAGACGGCTATGTTGCAGAACTTGGTCTGTTTCTCTGGGCCATCACAGGCATCGCCCCCAAACTGTGGGGGGGCGCAGGTTCGTGTTCGCGACCTGTAACCTCGGCCACAGGTCGATGAACACAAACTCCACGGCGACCACTCGTCCCAAGAGCCGTGCACTGCAATCAGAGCAGCTAGGGTATGATTTATAGACAGGCACATACACAGACCCCCTGAACACACCACAACAAGAGAACTCAACTGTCAACCTGACTCAGATACATGACTGCTGTTTAGCCGGTGATTGGGATGATATTGCTTTCTGTTGAGGCGTCTCCCTGCCTGTCTGCATGTACGAGAGCCTGAGAGCACTGTGGAATATCTGCGATAATAGTGGGGGTCCTTCCTAACTGCAGGCAAAGTGAGGGGACAAATAAACCCAGGGGCGACAGATCTGTGAAGTGCCTGAGGAGGTGAGTCAGGAGGGTCTTGTATGGGTGAAGCAGGGTCCAGGAGAGGGCTTGGCGAGCGCAGGGAGGTGGAAGTGGAGGAAAGGATTTGTGGGGGGGGGGGCTTACCTGGACAAACAGCAGAGTTGTTGCAGGCTCTCTGCTCACGCAGTTTCCCACTGCACTGGGTGCTGTAGGAGCCGTACACACAGAGACGAGTGCGACTCTGCCAGCCCTCCCCACAAGTGGCAGAACACACACTCCACGCTGACCACTCCTCACCTGAAGCTGAGTCTACTGAGGAGGGGGGGTGGGTAAAGGATAGGAGGATAAAAGGAGAAGAAAGAGGAAAAGGAAAGGGCCATAACTAATTATCATGCGGGATGCAGCCTCTGTGGCCAAAACAGGAAGGGTTGTGGTGTGAGGGTAGATTCCAGCTGAGGCACATTTGAAGGGTTGCCTCCTTCTGAGGCGACAGGTGGATGAGGCTCACCCAGTCCAATGGTTCCTCTCCATGCAGCTTGTTTTCTCTTGATTGCTCATCGCATACTTTCTAAGACAATGATAGGAACTTGCCAGAGGGCTTAAATCCTTTGTAGACCTGCTCCATAGGAACTGAGCTGCAGGTCCAAACCATCTAACGTTCTGTCTAAATTCGTAAACGACATCCTTCAAAAGAAGGCGACCCCTGAAATGTACCCCAGCTTTTGTTCTGCTTGTTCTTCTTCAACTGTGGGGCTCTGATTTCATATCCTCTGCATTAACTTCCAGTGGAAGTTAATGCCACTGGCTTAGGATATGTCAGTCATCTTTTCAATGGCCATGACTGCCAATGTAATGGCAGGTACATTCACCATACATTCAATAGGGAAGAATTTGGCAGTTAAAGCTTGGGAAGCAGGGAGAAGAGAACTAAACAGGAAGAGGCGAATCGATTAGCTGAGTAAAGTGATACTTCACACAAATGTTCTGTGTGTCAAAACTGCAAACCCTTTAGGCTTCAAAGGTCTTTACGTGAATTCTGCTTGGATTAATATCAGTAACGGTGGTATCCAACAGGGACTTTTGTGGTTGGTGGAGATCAAATAATCCATTGCAGCCAACCCTGCATCATGGTCCACTTTCTTCTTTGTTAGATATTTATCCATGTTAACTACCCGCTTAGTAATGTTTCACATTTTTAAAAGATTGATACCAGTCTCTCGTCTGTTCATTAAGTTCAGAGATAAAGCCAAGAGGCTAATGAACTAGCTCGATAAGCATAAAGAGGCACACAGCTTTTACCTTTAACGTTCACTTATGTATTAAGGTTTAGGGGAGTTATGTGTGTAACTATTTATTTTTGACATCACAGTGAAGCTGCCATGCCATCATGCTAAGCTAGGCTAAACAACTAGCTCCAAATACACCAGACAGGAGACTTGTATCTCATTTTGAGGGGGTTTCTAATGAGGATACCTCCTAATCGGTTCCTTCAGCCTACTATTGAGTGCTTGCTTCTCCTGTTTTTGAGTGGAGTATCACTTTAACAGAGACTCGGTGTAGTGTTTTACAGACAGGGCACAGTGTCCTGTTATGACCCACATCAAATACCATTTCACTATGTTCAATCAGGGTCCATGTTGGAATTAGTCCACTGCGGACGAGGCACTGCTTTGGGAGATTTTGATAGATGTGTAGATTAAAAGTGTGTTGTTTGTGGTCATGGTGTGTAAAGTGTACAGATGTGCTGGTCACCCAAGCTGCCACAGTGACTGATGCATGGGTTCCCTCTGCGTCCCGTTGTCTTACCTGTCTGAGGGCTCTGCTGTCCGCCGCGGGGCTTGTCTACGTCATCACGCTTGCGGCTGTCCACCGAGCGAAGCGATTGGCTGCGAGAGAGATGGAGGCTTTTGCCTAAAGAGGGTGAGGCAAGGCCGGGGGAGGAGGGGGCGGGGGTTAGCAACCAGTGGTCCGTCATTAACGTCTTATATTTGGGACACAACCGTGACGTGATGGTCACCCAGAACAGCATCAGCCAAACTTGGGACTTTTTTTTGTGCTGTCGGTGTCAGAGTGCTGTAAATGTGTGCAGTGCTTTATGTTGTCAGCTGTTGTATAATTATGTTCATGTGAGTCTTGAATGCCTCTGATGGCATGACTAACTGGAAGAAAAAAAACACATAACACGATAATGCTGTTGGAGCTATTTGTCAGACAAAAACGAAATGCTAGTCCTGTACAAATGAAGGAAGCAGGAGAACAATTGAGTAAAAGCTCTAATGCTTCCTGGTGAATAGCTTTTACATAATTGTGCTCAGATGTTTGATTTCCTGTGTCCTTTCATTCATTTGTGAGTGTAATGATGTTCACTACGCATGCATGGTCTTTAAAACGGTTGACCATGCCCTAATTATTTCCATCGATCAAAGTCCCCTTTCCAACATGCACTCCTTAAGTCAACACGCTGACTTATAGAGGATGGGTACACAAGGGGATGAACAAGATGTAAAAAAACAATATTAAAAGAAAGCTGTAAACACACAATTTGTACACACCTGGTGCTCATAATTAACCACATAGAGGAAATACATCTTGCAGACAAGGATGTGTATAACATGAACACACACACCACACACACACACACACACAGGATGGGGGTCTCACCGCTGCAGGGCTGAGCGTTGCAGGGACGGCCCTCCTCCAGCACCCCCTCACACAGGTACGACTCCTCTGCCGGTGACTGACAGGTCCGAGCCCGGGTTTGAATCCCGCCTCCGCACTCGCTGCTGCACCGTCTCCACTGCCCCCACACACTCCACCCGCCTGAAACACACACAGCAGCACTGCATTCAAGGGTGACCAGAGAGTGCACTTTCTGGATCAAATCGGTTAACATGTTGTTACTGCAGGAGCAATTTTGGGGTATCTTGCATTTCCAACACGTTTCTAGGGATGATGATCGGACCATTGACCCTCCAAAGGGTAGACATCAATTCCCTCCCTGAGCAGTAACTTAAGGTCTCCTATCATGCTATTTTTAGGCATATATTATGGATCTCAGATATATAAAAATATATAAAAAACATGTCTATGATGGTTTTGCTCAAAATACCAAACAGATCATGCTTTTTAGACATCCTTCATATCCCTCTATGTCAGCCCTGTTAGGGAACTGCTGATTCTGGGTCAGTAGCTGTTGGCCCCGCCCCCTTTTGAGCACGCAGGGAAGCTGTGAGTTGCACAGGGAAGAGAGATTTCTACCGGCAGATTCAGCTAAATGCTGCCGTGATTAAACGCCATATCATGTTCCAAACCACTTCAAGGATTATTTCTGAAATAGTATGGAGCTCAAATTCTTTTTTTCTTGCGGGTTTACCACAAGGTGAGTTCCTTTTTTAATATCCTGCTTACACATACTCTCTCCAGTACAGGTTAGCTCTGAGTGTTATCGATGCTTGCTAATGTAAACACAGACAATAATACTTCCAAAACACGTCATGCTTTGATTCTGATAGCGACGTTTCTGATAGGTCCGTGCCAGCCCACATTTTAGTAATGTCGTCATGACGCAGCAAATCTGGATCAGCTCTGTTGGTCCCCGGTTTTTAGAGATTTGGGTACGGAGGAAAAGAGAGGGTTTTGTTTTCTGACACTTTGTGAGTCTCCTTACACACCGGGACACATATTTATGTATAACAGACATTATATAAGCATTTTGCTTAATATGTGACCTTTAATGTACTCAAGTTTTGTACTTAGGTAAATGTACTTCATTTAAGTTGTTTTCATATTATGCTACTTTATACTTCCAGTCCAATACATTTGAGCAGTAGGGAGACCAGGGACAGTTGTAACACGGGTCAGTTGTAACACCTTCAATATCTCCAATCACAAATAAGCTAGAGTGATGAAACTCACTCTGCACATGCGCAGTTAGATGGTAAGATCGCTGAGAGCCACGTTTGAATTTCTCGCGTAAGATATCAGCAAAAGTGTGTTTCTGAGGTAAAATATTAACTACAATTATATGATCTATTTTTTGGATACTGTCTTGAGTTCAAATGTCTAGGAATCCAAACTAGTATTATTAGAATCACTGTTTTGTAAGCTACAAATATAACTAGCTAAATATGGGTCAAGCTAGCAACCAGGCAGGTTCACAGGGGGTGGAAGCAAGACTGGTGGTCCTGGGACGGTTGTAACGGGACGGTTGTAACATGGCACATTTACAATGATGGCTCATTTGCTTGAATGATCAATTGTTCATTCAAGCATACAGTTGTATTGTTGGTTGGTGTGCATTGTCCCTGTAAAAATAAACAGAATATAATACTGTACAGTAGGCCTAAAGTGTGTGTGTGTGTGTGTGTGTGTGTGTGTGTGTGTGTGTGTGTGTGTGTGTGTGTGTGTGTGTGTGTGTGTGTGTTTACAGTATGCCAAATGTCAGAAAGAGGAAGACAGACAGGGGAGTGCCACTTGCTCTGCTGCAGAGGGCCTCAAATGAAGTTGAGAAGGGCAAATCATTCAGGGAAGTGGCAAAGTCCCTGGATATATGCCATGTCACCCTGTACCGGTTCCATACAAAGAGGCTGAGGTTGGAGAGTCAGGGATCACAAACACCCCCAAGAGTAGGCTACTGGACACCAAAGAAGGTTCTCAACAGAGCAGGAGATGCTTTTGAGAGACTACCTGATGGAGGCAGCTGATTTATATTATGGTCTCAGCTCAAAGGAGGTAGGTCCACATCATTAAGGTAGAAGCACCTCTCAGAGAACAGTTTAATCGTTCACAGAGGATGATGCTGTGTGTGTGATCTGTTATCCTGTTCATTGTTCATTGTTGATGGAGGATGTGTGAAACCCCATTCAAATCTTGTTACCTAATTTGACAGCTTTCCCTATTTGTTGTCATGTAGTGTGAAAAAAGGTAACCGTTATTAACATGTTACAACCGTGCCTGGCATGTGCTACAACTGTCCCTGTACACAAGGACAGTTGTAACAGTTGAGTTTTTAAAAAAAAATACATTTTCCAACCTGTACTTATTTCATAAAAACATCTTAAATACATTGTTTCAGTAGCTGACATATTGATAATGTATAATATAGCAAAATGGCTATCCTATTGTAAATGTTGTTTTACTTATTGGGGAAAAGCCCAAAAAGTGTTGCAACTGTCCCTGGTCTCCCTACATGTTGTACTTTTGTACTCATTCCAATGATTAGAAAATGTAATGGATGGAAATACCTTGCAGTCTAAAAAGTCATTAGTGTTATCTCCTCCTGAAAATGTCAATGATAGATAGATAAATGCATCACTAATTATAAACCAATTATAAGACATATTGTTACCCTCATAGCGTAATTGCAAGTCATATTTTAAGGTTTTCAGAAAAAGAAGATAAAACACAGGAGCTGCTCAAGTGTCAGACTCACATGTGTGCATATAAGAATGTATGTTTTTAATTATTCATGTAATCATCTGCTGACCCTCTTGTGTCACGCCACAGATTTATAATGAGGTTTTTCTCCCTAGTATCTAGGCTTGCATGTGTTTACTACAGGGATGAAGCCTGATGTTAGTACATTATACAGAAGTGCAGGGTTATTTTCCTTCATTCAAACTAACTTACCAATTGCATGCACAACTAATACAAATCAATATGATGAGCTAACATTTAAATATATAGACACGAAAGACACATCTGAGTCTTCTTCCATTTTATATAAATATATATATATATATATATATATATATATATATATATATACATATAGGTTACATTTGGACTTATGCTATTTCTCCACGAACCGCCCACTCTATTGTCACATCATTAAACATCATTTAGCCTGGTGTCTAAATGGAGATCAGGTTGTACCATGTACCAATACATCATTACAATATGTCATTGTATGTTTATTGTATGCTAAACTGGAAGTGAAGTATATGAGTGGAATAAATGTTAGTAGATAATGAGTTAATACAAAAATACGTAGATTTTTGCATTAACAGAATTCCGGCCACACTTAAAACAGAGGTGTGATGAATGCCATTGTCATTGTGAAATTCCCTGTTTGGCCGATTTAATGCGCTCCATTAAGATGTGTGCTGATATGAGGAGGAGCGGCTCTCCATGGCTCTCTTTCCCTTTGTCCTGCACACTCATGAATGTTTAATGGCAGAGACAGATGCTTTTCAGCCCCCACAGGCAACGGCAAATATGTATTAATCTGCATGAATAGAACATGAAGTTGGCTAACATCCAGACACACACGTTTTTAATTAGCTGCAAGTCCTTTTAATTTGGGATGAGGGAGGGCGCTGTGGAGGGCACTTGATCCAGTCAAAAGAGTCAGATATTCGCACACACTCACACACACACATTCCTCATTTCTGATTGGTCAGATTACAGATTCACCAGGTCTGCTATTTTTTGCTATCAGACCATTGCCAGCAAAGAAGATCGTCGTAAATAAAATAAAATAACCAGGTTGCAATGAAACACTCCAACCTACAGTATGTTAGGGGCACATTGAACATTTGTAAGCTAATGCTAACTAAGATGTGATAAGCTAGTTCTGCTAAGAGTCCCAGGCCCATTGTGTAAGCACAACTGTTAGAAAACATAGAATGATCCTTCTCTCTGTTTCTCACCAGTTCGTGCACTTTGACGATAATAAACAAAGTGCTGTGTGCTTGAAAGCTTGTAGTGTGTTTGGCGCTCTATGATACAGAAGTCTGATCTGTGGTGATGTTTGTGAGCAGTTTGATTTGTTTCTTTCAGTGCAGGTTACATTTTGTAAACTCGTTTTTATCGACATGTCTGTAGTTGTTCTGTAACATTTCCTCCAAACTAAGATAAAGTGCTTTTATGGAGAACACTTTAAATATCTGTGACCTTCATATATTATGGTTAGATAGAAAGATTGCCATAAAGCAACCTGAGCACATTTATGCCCCCAGTCGGAAAAAGCTTTCTGATTACACTGACCTCCAATGTGCTTCAAGAAAAACTTTCTTTTTTTTGTATCTGGTAAGGCTCTTTGGATAGCTAAATGATTGGTGCGTCACTCTTGATTGGCTGTTGAATGGAAGTACCTTTTGGGGGCTTTAATCTAGCTTTCTGTCTGCAAAGAAGTGCTTATAAATTAGATGTATTATTCTATGTATGGGAACATTTTTAGTGCACTTATATGAAACATAGGTGACACACACCGAAGACAACAGAGAGCTGTGGGTGTGTGCCAGTCCAGTCACCATGAGCATAATGTCATTACCATGGCAACGAGTTGTCCTGACAAATTGTCATTCAGTGACGTGCACACTTTATTGCTAATGTCTGAATCCTGTCAATTTGAAGGTAAATGAAGAGAAAAGAGAAGTATAAAAGGACAGAGGGACCGGACTGTGAGCTCCTCCTTAGGTTCAGAGACAAAACAAAACCATTCATAAATCCTTCTAAATTGTGTGTTTATCCAAAGCCTGATAAACCATTTGTTCTGTGCCAAAGAACGATTATCCAAGAACGATTACAATACATCACGCTTCCCTCATGGACATGTAAACATTAGTTTTTAAAAGTGAATCCTCTATACCACTGGTTCTCAACCTGTGGTACGCGTACTACTGATGGTACGCCAGCTCCCGCTAGTGGTACGCAAAGGAATCTGAAATATAAAAAATATTTTAAAAGAAATATATTATCTTTTTTTTTTACATTTTATTTAACCAGATGAAAACATTGAGACAACATCTAATTTACAATGCTGACCTGGTCAAGAAGGCAGCAACGTTCTTACACATAACACAGACATCAAATACAGA